TGAACGTAATAAGTTAAATAGCTTGTTATTATCAGCACGGAAATATCATATGCTAAGATGATTAAAGAGTTTAACAGCACAGGCCTTTTTCAAATTTTGCTCCATCTACCAAGCATATCTAAACAAGGTTTAGTCTATAATTTAGGGTGCCCCTTGGATTATGGCCAAATTATTGTTTCTCATAGATAAATAATTATTTATTATTTTACCAAATCATTCCTATCACCTGAAAATAAATCAGTTAATCGGTATGTGATTTAATTTACATTAAGGCAAGTGGTGAATTCTGCCCCAGTGTTTTGTATGTAAATTATTAAATAATCTCTTCTCATGCGGATTATAAATAGTTTTGGATTATATTCTTCCAATTAACGAGAAAACTTTCATGTTTTGAATAAGGGCTCTTTCATTTAGTTTAAATCACTGTTGTTGAATTTATGAAGCATTCATCTCATAAACGATAAACCATGTATTATAAGTTATATTCAATGGAAAAAGGTTTTCTTCTTTCTATTTTTTTCGACGATCTTCTGTCTAATAAATTTAATAGAGGTGAAACCTTTATAAAAGAATATCATCAACATTAGCAAATGTTTGAGTTCTTTTTGACTACCCGCTCTACCACATATAGAAGATCATTGGCGGTTATTTGTGAAATTGATGAAAAATGTTTGTTTGGCTAATTTTATCGTTCACAAGTTCTGTTCTTTTCGTGAATAATAATAAAAATAATCATTTTGTTAGAAATAATTTTTATGAGCAGAAAATATGTATTTGGCACGTCAAAAATATTAATCAGAGAAATGATGGTTAAATATAAATCGTTTATTTAAATACGTGCGTAGTTCGCGCTTGTTTGATTGCTTAAAAGGGTAAAAATTCTACCGAATATTAAAACAGGGTGTGGATAATAAGAAAATGTCAATTTTTCACTTTGATTTTGTTTAGTTTATTTGATTATGGCAAAACACTCGAGGGCTATCAGCCTAAGGGAAGAGATGCCGTGGCAAACATTCTAAGGGAAACAGGTTTACTTTACATATTAAGAGTTCTTTTTGATTTTGCGTTCCTAGTTTTTAGAAGTATATCCTAAATCCCCTAGCTAGGCCTTAACCTGCTTTCAGTAATTTTACGGTTGGACATAACTATCGTCAGTATTAATATGTCGAGATCTTCAGATGTGCACCCGAGCCTTATTTTTTTATATCAAACTTGAAATTGCTGTTTATTCGCTTTAAAATCTCTACTTTTATCACCTACTTTTAAGTCTGCCTTTAGCGGGGTGACATTTAAGTTGTAATAAGGGCCTGTAAAAACGAATGTCTCGCAAAATTTGGCATTTTGCTTATATTTCAATCCCCAAAACACCAAATGTCGATCCGTGCAGAGAATGTGGCTAAGCGAAAATCTTAAATCCGTTTCCTTAACTTCTCTTGACTGCTTGAAAAATGGATGGAGCATACAATATATGACACCAAACCAAGGTCTCGTGTGATAAATATTTTCTTTTCTAAGATATGATTCTAAGAAAAAATAGTGAAGAGTTACATACATTCTCTCAAGGGAAATGGCTCTACGAAAACAAAATTATTTATTTTTTCCCATCTGAGTAACAGCTTGTAAAGGAAATTTAAGCTGAAATCCGTAATGTTTTATTGAAATAATTTTGCCCTGTATTCAAATTAACATTTCGGGAAATCGGAAAAATATATGCGCTACAGTTAAAAATGTATTAAGGAGAATACATAAATGACAAATTACTGTTCTGCATATTTTAGAATAAGGAATGATAAGAAAGTTGTAATTTTTTGTTGAAAATTCTTCTCAGTGTATTTAAATATCGAGACATTTCTTTATGAAAATTTTATGTTTAAACAGTAATTAGGAAAGTTGTTAATAATGCATTTATAAACATAGAAAACTGTCGTGTTTACTCAAAGAAAATAAACTGTGATTATACTTGTTCTCCCCCTTTATGAAAGTGTTCCCTCTCAATTTTTCAAGCAAATATGCTGTAAAGCTAAAAACCATTCAACCGCGTGCTTTGTGTCATTGTCTATGCCAAGGACTTCAAGGGAAGTTAACCAAATCTTGCTAAACAATTATATAATCTGAAATATCGTAAACAAATAATGATATAATAAATGCGAAATCAATAAGAGTCGAAGTAAACTATGTACGAGGTCGTATCTTCTTCTAAAATTAAAATCAGAATTGGGAAACTGATGGTATTGACGATGATGCGATGAGTTATCGAAGATTTGATAGTGGAAGATACAGGGCTTACAGGTATGAAAAAGAAATGGTATATATTATCTGATAACATCTCAATGTTATATAAATTCATTATATAATTGTATTTTAAATCCTTGACCGAAAATGGGAAGTGAAGCTGTAAGTTTTATTTTGATTCACACATTTGGCTAGTATTAATATGCATTCTCTACTCTTACAATTTCCTCTACTCTACCAGAATGTACAGATGAAAGCCGCTTTTAATAAGGTACAAATCTAAGTTCAGAGAATGAGGTTTGAAAACGCCTCCGGTCATGAAAAAAGTCTTTGTTTGAGTCTGTCGTAAACAGTGTTTTTCTTATTTGATGTGTCGCTTTGCTGTAGAATATTGAAAAATTAATTTGTGAAATCACACTAAACCATATGTTAGGATAGAATTTAACTTCAAAACTGTGAAAATTTTGTCTTTGCATGTTGCCTGTTATTCCCACAAAGTCAGTGTGTGTTCGTTAGTTTTAATTTCAATAATTCAAATTTTGTAATTTAAGTCAACAACAAGTTTTAGTTTCTGATTTTCCGTTGTAAACTTTAGTACTTGGAAATTGTTGAAAAGCTAAGACGAAAATTCTTTTTCTAGGTTATAAAGTTAATATAGCTTTAGTTTAAGGTTAGGCTAAATTATATGAATATCCCAAAGCACACGAGGGCTACCTGCCTAGAAGAAGAAATGTCTTCTTGAAGGATTTTCAAAGGAAAACTTGCTCGTATTCACATTAAATATGGAGAAAACCGTGAAAAACAACAACATAGCCAGCTCGTTTGCTTGGGACTGAACCAAGTCAAACTCTTATCATTCAGCGGCCTAAACCAGTCAACCATTCGGGAGGTGTTTTAGTTTAAGAAAACATTCATTTAACATTATACGGTTTTATCATTTGTTCTGGCTTGAACAAATGGTTCAAGTGAAAGTAAGTTTGAATGTTAAGACTGACACATTCTTTTCGATGCACAGTTCTTCACAAGTAATCAAACTATTCAGAGAAGCTGCTTTACACACGCATACGATTTTCATAAATTCTCCTAAATCGCTCTTTTGTGTATTCATTGAATGAAACAAACTTTGAATAACATTTACAATATTTTTGCTTTTCTGTTTTCTTGTCTTTTTCTGTTTTCTTTCAAGTGAACATAAAGCAAACTCTCATTAAAGAGGGATGATAGCTGTATCATAGCTCCACGAGTGGCCGAGTGATTAAGAGCGTTGGACACTAGTAGTAGGTCGATCCAGTTTCGAATTCAGGTGAAAGGGCTGACAGCATGCTTGGTTTGTGAATTTTTCTTCTTTCATAGTACGAATACGAGACAGTTTACCTTGGAAAGTCCTCCACGAAGGTAACCCTTTCCCTAGGTAGAGAGCCTTCTTGTGCTTTGCGATATTTAAATAACCTAACTTACCTATAAATCACAAAATTTCTATAAGCTTACTATAATTTGCAGCATTTTGTTCTTTACTTGGCCATGGTAAAAATCAGTAGACGGAACCGATCAGCTTTTGCAGGGATCGGCAAATTCTTTTACTTAAAAGCAACCAAAACACATGGCGACTTCATAGAGTTCTTTCTGCTTTGCAGCGAAGGGAAAATAGTGTGATAAAGGAAAAAAAGCAAGAGTAGTTTCAAGAAATTCAATTTATGAGGTGAAGTGGTTCGTAAAATTTAAACAGAAAAGATTTTTCTCTTTCTTTTCATTTCACTTTCTCATAAATTCTCCGTAAAACTTTTATTATAGTAATATTAGACTTCAATAATAACATTCTGAAGTAATCAGAGAATTAGAAAGACGAGAAATTAAAAGAATGATCGAAACACCTTCGATAATATTTTATTAATAAAAATTAATTTTGCTTATACATTTCAATTCATTTGAAATGTTTAAGGTTTCATTCTGCTTTACATGAACCGGTAAAGTAATAATTATTTATGTCAAATGTAACAATCTCGAATGTTTGTCTGCTGTAAGAAAAGTAATATGTTTATATATTTCGAAACGCAGTTTACTAAATTGTACGAACACACAGATACTTCCTAATTTTTTTTAATAATTTTGAAATAAGTGTGAAATAACTTCACCTTATCACATAATTGCTACCTACAGGTACATGCTACCTTTGGCAGTGGTAGTTAACCTTTGATAATTAAATGTTATGGTTATAAACCAAATAATTATCAAAGGTTATAAACCTTTAATAAACTTTTGATAATTATTAACCTTTGGGTTATAAACCTTTTATAATTATTAACATAACGTACGTTGTGTTAATAATTATCAATTATATAAACTCACGGATTATGCAAACAGCGTTTCTACAAACTCAAATGTAAAATGAAACGGAACATTATTAGCTATTATTAGTAAGATATAAAAATACATTATGATAATCTAAACTAAAATCAGACTTCTCGCATGAAACCTACAATGCAGATGGTTTGTCTTGCTACAAAGATTCGAATCATTTGCCGCATCTCCTTCACATTTACTCTAGTCAACTCTCGCAGGCACGTCGACAGCAATGGGGTGCAAAAGCCACTAGGCTCATGGTTAAGATTAACATTTTGTAATTTAAATTGCACTGTTTGTCATTTAATTTACATAACTTTACGAGTGAACATCGTGGCCAGCCAAGAAAAATAGAATAGAACTCAACTTTGTAAACTTAGGAACAACTGTCCTAAATTGTAATTTGCTATAATTTATTATATTTTTAGATTGAAAAAAGAATATGTACTGTGCAACAAGAAACTAAAGAAATCAAGGAAGATATAGCGAATTTAAGGATTTTTTTGAAGCAATACAAAAAACTGGAAAACGACTTATTGCGCAAAATAAATGACATGAAAGACGAAGCACAGAAACTTCTCGACACAGCCGTTACTACATATGAAGAAAGGTAAAATTAAGTAGTTGCAATAAGTACCAATTAATAACCCAAAATGATAAAATTTAAATAATCAAATGTTTTGTAGTTTGATGTACTAGCATATAGAAATATCAGCTCTTTTATAGACAAGAATGGAAGTTTCGAGAAGCAAATCTCTTTTATCGGTTTTCTTACGTAAATGAATATTTTCCAAGCAAGTATTTTGCAGATGTTTAATGCACTTAATGATAATCTTCATGTTCTTTAATTCTTAAAGGTAAATTAACTTTTTGTTGGAAAGTTTCTCTTAATTTTCAAAAGCGGGGAGACTTAAAAGCGGTGTTAAAACATGTTAGCGGTAAATGGAATCTATAAGGAGTTCCTCGTTTATTGGATTTATATGTACTTTTTACCAAAGTTGTATTTCTGTTTGGGAGAAGAAACCAAAATTCGGTATGATACTAAATTTCAGCTAGACTCGGATTGCTCCTCAGCGTTTACAATTCCTCCAATTTTTGCTGCATGTTGAACATACCGACTCTAATCAACGACTGATTTTTCATTGCTGTCCCTCTGATCTGTTCAACACTACTGCTGTGAATTTAATTTTAGAAGCAAACTATCGCACTAGGCTGTCGTTTTAACATTAAAGGTTTGTTCGATAATATTCCTTTCTTTCCAGAAAATTTATGAAGGCTTCTTTCTTAAATAAAGATAAAATTATTCAATAATTTCAAGCATTCGTATAAAAATTAATGACTTTCAGTGTATAATAATATGCTTTGCTGCTTTCCACGTTTAGTATTGATATAAGGAATAGCTCTGGAATGAAAACTATTTACTTAGAACGTTATTCAAAATATAAAAAAAATGTCTTAAATGGATTTATATGGATTTATAATTAAATGGATTTATAATTTATCAGCCGTAAGCGTATTTTTAAGTACAGTACTGAGAACTAAATGTATACAAGGGAGCCACTCTTAGAAAAATATTTAAAAATGAAAAGAAAATTAAAACTTTTTAATTTTGTGAATAAGAATTTCCTCATCCATAGTGGATGATGAGTCCCAAATTCATCATCATTTTAACATGAACGCTAGGTTAGGTCAGGTTGTTTGAATACGGCAAAGATCAAAGAGCTATCTGCTCAAGAGAAAGGAATTATTTAGTGGGGCTAGTGAGTTAAGGAAGGTAATGCAATATATTTTTACGTCGATGTCCTAGTGTTATCGATCCTTATCGTTTTTATTTATTATCTGTTTCAGAGAGGAATATATCAATAGGTGGAAAATTTTCAAGGAGAGATATAACCAGGATTTGAGAAAAGCAGCCATCAACCAGAATGCTTTAGACTTATGCTTAGAAAGATCTAACAATTATGATAATTTCGGCCGCTTACAAAAAGAAGTTCGGACGGATGCTAGGTACGTAAAAGCCAGCATTAAATGGATTTATAATTTATCAGCCGTAAGCGTATTTTTAAGTACAGTACCGAGAACTAAATGTATACAAGGGAGCCACTCTTAGAAAAATATTTAAAAATGAAAAGAAAATTAAAACTTTTTAATTTCGTGAATAAGAATTTCCTCATCCATAGTGGATGATGAGTCCCAAATTCATCATCATTTTAACATGAACGCTAGGTTAGGTCATGTTGTTTGAATACGGCAAAGATCAAAGAGCTATCTGCTCAAGAGAAAGGATACCTTCGTAGAGGATTTACTGAGGGAAACTAGTTCGTATTTACGTAGCACATAGAAACACCGCAAAAACCAAACATGCAGCCAGCCTAATCTCTGGGAGAGAACCCAAATCAGATCGAAGTAGCAATGTTCAGCTGTTTTAATCACTCAGTCATTGTCGAGGCTTTTGGTATGAACGAACTTAATGCCATATGGAAATTAATTATGAATATGCCAAAGTTGTATTTCTGTTTGGGAGAAGAAACCAAAATTCGGTATGATACTAAATTTCAGCTAGACTCGGATTGCTCCTCAGCGTTTACAATTCCTCCAATTTTTGCTGCATGTTGAACATACCGACTCTAATCAACGACTGATTTTTCATTGCTGTCCCTCTGATCTGTTCAACACTACTGCTGTGAATTTAATTTTTATGCAAAGAGGACGCTACCTGTTGACTCATTTAAAACACTGCTTAGCCAATTAGTAAAGGATATGAAGTAATACTGAGTGACTGTAATTAAAGTTCCATTTCTAAAAAGCTGTAAAAGAACTACTACTGAATAGATAAGAAACAATGGGAATTTGTATCGGAAAGAAAGAATAGTTCAAAATTTTATCAATAGATAGCGCTCTAATTTGTTATTATATGCTTACATGTGCACTACATATTAGACTTAATACGGAATACGTCTAGATCCCATAATTCTGTATTTGAGAAGGTCGTCATGACCGTATTAATGAAGGCACGGTCTTCTGCTTGTGAAGTTTTTTACAAGAACGGTGAAACTAACTGCTGTGAAGAAATTCTGGAAATAAAGTGTATAAGTTGCGGGTCTGGCTCCATTATTTGCAATGATCTGCAATTTTGAGTATTGACAGAACAGATGGAAATAGGTTTCGTCTGTCCACAAAATGTTCCATAGCCATGCATTGTCCACTTCCAGCCAAGAAAGAAATGTAGGGAACAAATTTTTCGTATTAATAGGTCAACCGAAAGCAACTCCTGAACATGTGAAATTTTGAATGGTTGGCTTTGCAGGATGTTTAGTAAAATTTTACGAACCATGGTGATAGGCATGTCTGAAGATCGAGCAATTACCCTCACATTGCATATTTCCATACGAGTTCTGTCTCTTCTTACAATGCTTATAGCCACATCTTCGACTGACGTCCATGCAATTGTTTCCTCCCTCTGGCAAGATCTTGTTCAATGAACTGGTATCTTCGAATTAACGAATTATTTTCCACAGACCCTTGACAGAAATCGAACCAGAGTCGTCTCTCATTGATGTATCGAACTTCTTTAGGGTAGATGAAGCACAGACACCGTTTTCGTGAGAAAAAAAAAATACACAAGCAGGAGTCCGATGCTTCATTGATAGAGTCAAGATGAGCTTCTCAGACGCAGAATAGCGGGAAATGGGATCTAGGATTTTGCTGGCACAAAAAGCCTATAACGAGAGCTGCATGTACTCCGTGTTTATATTAAGTCTAATATGTGATGCGCATGTCACATCTTTTAATTAGCATATTATGAACAAGCACAGTACCATTTACTGAAACAATTGTGAGCTGTTCCCATTGCTTCATGTGTATTCAGGGCAAATTTAAAATCAAAGAATACCCAGTTGTTCTTTTATAAAAATTCCTGATACTCGTTTGATAACATTTACTTCATAACCCATCAATTACTTTCTCATTTTTGTGCTTTATAATTTTGCGCAGAGAAGCATAATCGTACCTTTAATGGATTTGAATGCCCTTCTTTCCTGGGAGGGATGTTGAATTGATTTTAAACAGTTGCATTTTGCTTAGACTTTGCGATATGTAGATGATTTATTTGGAGGTTAGATCAAGATGTTTAACCGTGATTAATTTGCAAATAAATTTAAAGAAACGAAAAGAAATTACACGGAATATTTTATAAACTACTGAAATTTTCAAAAGAGTTTTAAAATTAATTTTATTACAACGTCTAATGTTCTACTCAAGAAATTTTGCAGTTTTAAGTTTATTGAATATGACGAGCACATTTCAAATTTATTATACAATTACAAAATCGCCAACATTATACCCAAACAATAAATTTTCATTTTCGCTTGGTTTTCAACTATACACAATTTCTAAGTTTCAAGTGCATTTTTCTGTATCAGAATGGAAAGATCCATATACAAAGCAATTATCACTTGATAATTTAACTTTTCTCTAAGAACTAAACATAATATAAACGTGCCTTTTTTTCCTTCTTGAAGTGGCAGTTTTAAAAATTATTTATTTGGAAGTGCTGCCGAAGATATACGATATATATATATATATATATGATATATATATATAACATAATGATTACAATATCATTATCTCATTCATATAAAGCTAATTAAAATTTTAAATTATGAAAATTCAATTGTAAACAAAATAAAATGATTAATATTTGCTGCGAACTAATTTGCAATGTCATTCAAAATCAGAGAGCATAAGTAATTTAAGTGCTAGCATCTAAATACATGAAAAAATACAATAATCTAAACATTTTTATCTTAAAAACTTCAAAACGTTTCTAAAAAACTAACTTAATTTGCATTAAGTGAATAATTGTTGAGCAGGCAGGAGACTTTTCAAGGGGAAGTTGCCTCCATCCTTTCCTATATGGATACTTTTCCAACAAGAATTATGCTTGCAAACCAAAATAAACTAAAAAAAATAATCTAAACATAAATAATAATAGTAATAATAAAATAAAATAAATACAATCTATAAAAAATACAAAAAAGGCAAGTAAAGAATAAGTTTCAATTTAACTTATTATGTAACCATATATTTGTAACCATATATTAGAATTGCAGCTCGAAATGAGTAAAGATTTTTATCTTTTTTCTAATTTTCCTTACCTTTGGCCAGTGTTTAGTTAAAGTTTTGATTTGACTTTCATTTAACTTCAGTTTTATTAAAAATTAATTAAATTCATTTAAAATATTTTATCCATTTTTCAATAAAATGTTTTTATCAGTTTTTCAGTTTTAAACTTTTCGCACTTTCATTCAAAATTATGAAACATTTACAGTAATATTTACATCATTTTCCCACATTACTTACATTTCTACAATCCTATAACAGTTAGCAGCTACATTTTTCATTTTCATACAGAACATCCATTTTACATTTTTTTAGAGTTAGCAGCCAAATTTTTACAATACATAACATAGTTAGCAGCTACGAACTACTTACCTTACATTGTTTAGCAAGTGCTACACCACTCTCTCAAGTACAAAAATACATGGTAAGTTAAATTAAAACTTATTACTTACTTGCCCTTTTTTGTATTTTTTATAGATTGTCTTTTTATTTATTTTATATTATTATTATTATGTATGTTTAGATTAATTTCGCTAAATCCAATCGATTCCAATCCTGGGCGTGGAGAATCATCATCCACCACCCTTTTAGTTCGGGCGCCACTGTAGAGACATTAGGTATTTTTTGGAAGCAAGATAGATTGAAAAATTAGCAACGCCTTCGCCGGGAATCGAATCATGGATCTTTGGAATACGCGCCCAGCATCACACCACGAAGGCATGCCAAGAAGGCGGGAGAAATGCCTTATAAAATAAAAAAAAATTACTTTTGGAATTAAATTTAAATTCTGTTGATTAACGTATGAAGAATATGTGTGGAAAAAGCATATAAAATATCTTTTTTCCTATACAAATTGTCAATAGGTTGTCGAAAACCATGCACATAAAGTAGCAGCAGAGGTGGAAAATTTATATTCGGTGAAATCTTTTGACATAAGTTTGAGATTAAAAAATGTTTGTTGATTAATCTGAATATTTTATTTTTGCTATTATGTATATATATAAAATATACATAAATATATTATATATATATATACATATAAAAGACATAATTGGGTGAAAAAAATGGAAGGAACTGCTGGCGGTAACAAAAGATTTGGCTAGACACTTTCTTTTATTGTTTAACGCGAATAAAGAAAAATTTGACAAAGAAATGTTTCTTTTGTATCAAATACATTCAATGTTAGGAAAGAAAACGAGGTATTGATTTTGGAAAATAACTTCTCTTTTTAACGCAGATACGAAATATATTATTTCTTAAAGGAAAAACTTGATTTTTTTTCTTCTTGGAATAAAGTTTTATGATGCATATAAGACTTATGTGGGCATTCCTGTAGAAATTCCAGATTATGTTCTTGAATAAAAGCACATGCCAGAAATTTGAGCATTCAGTCCTGATAAATGGCGAACAAAACGCATTAAATTCTTTTGAACATAATTGTACCAAATAATAAAAATGTCGTATTTTGGAATCTACAAATATATTAAAAAGGACAACAAAATATAAAAAAATTCTGCTTATCTTTAAATCTCTTTCTTTTTCTCTATATATGATGTGCACGTATCTGATGCATAACAAATACGTTCGCACTGATGAATTCTAATTCGAGGCAGACATCAGTCGATGATAAATTTACTGGTTAAAACGTTTTTCTCAATAATTGTACTTTCTGTAGTAAGTATATATTTATAGTTTAAAATCTGAATGAATATTATTTTCTTACTGTATCTACTGTAATATTTTAAATTTATTTGATTTCATTGGAATCCTAGTGTTAAATTGAAAAAAAATATTATATTCAGTAGTGGAAATAAAAACCTGGCTCTGATTCTACCAGTTCTGAAAAACTTAATATATTTCTAATTTGAATATAATAAACTATTTTT